TTAGACAACTCTGATTTCCTCATACCAGAAATCAAGCTGAGCAGTTGAATTTTTTGTGCTTCTACTCCTTATATTTACAGTTTTCTTCTATATTTATTAAAACTATAAACAAAATTCTATGTATACACAAATATTTTGTTTTAATTTCTTTGAAAAATATAACTTAGGAATTTCTTTCTGAGACTTGCCTGTGTTTTCTGTTAATTAACAATTTACACTGACAGAAATGGACTCTGACTGGAACAATTGTTCCTCATCCTATTGTGATACATTATATTGCAAACATTTAGGTGAAAATTTAGCACATGCATGTTTCCAGGGTAGAATATACTTACTAGGATTTTAATAGCTTGGTACCCAGATTTCGATTATAATTTTCAGACACATTGACTACATTTACTTTATAGTTAAAATGATAAAGTAAATATTCGGGGCATCATTTTGTATTTCTATATCAAAGAACTCAGTAATTTATATACAAACTATACAATAAAAACAATGTGTAGAGAAAAATTCATTTAAATTACATAATGAAGAAAATATTACTATAAATAAACACATATCAAATTGTTATGCTATTATTATTGCTGGAAACCCAAATAATGTAGAATTATAAATACCCATTAAAGAACAGCAAATTCAAAATAACTAAAAATGATTTTATGCATGAGTCATTGTGTTATGAATAATTTTAAAAAATTAAACTCCTTAGAAATGTTTTCATAAAGCCAATTGTCATAGTTAAAAGAGAATCAAAATTCTTTCAAATGTTGGTCAATACATTTATTTTTTAATTGGCTGGGTATTTTTTCTGCATATCTGTTTGTATAATTCATGCTTGGCATCCATGAATAACAGAATAGGATTTTGGAGTCTTCTAGATCTGTAGTTACAGATGGTTCTCAGACACCATGTGTGTCCTGGGAATTGCCACCAGGTACTCTGCAAGAGCAGCAAGTGTTTTTAACTATTGCAATATCTGTTTAGCTCTGAGAGTCAAAATTATGTTTGTAAGATGCTCCCTGCTCCCTTTGTAAGGAGCTTTGTAAAGAGAGATCTATGATCTAAAACAAATAAATGGACATTTCCTGAGAAGGGCAAACATTTCTTTGGAGTGTTTAAAATTAGCAATAGTTACTGGAAACTTAGACAACATTTACAACATCTATGAAGTCAAAGAAAATATAACTCAAAAATTAAACATATCTACTTACAAAGTATTTATTCAGACAAATAAAACATTTTATATAATTCCAATTTGTCAAGTAAAATATTGGAAAATAAAATTTATTTATCTCAGAAATTAACAAAACTAAAAATAATTTTTCTTTGAAGCTTTACTATTTATATCAATATTAAATTTTTACTTTGAAAATTAGTACACCATTGAAAATGGAATTTATAATTAAAAATCACTAAAGTCAATAAGTTTCAGTTTCTTGTTTCATTTTTTTCTAGACTTCCTTTTGTTTAACTTTCAAACATCAAAAATATGAAAACAGATGCATGTTCAATAACTTTGGTTTTAAATTATAATTTAGAAGAGGCTATCTCAAAAACATTTTTCTGTCTTTAAATGATAGGCACTATTATAACTTGATTATTATCACTAGAGATGAGAATTTACATAAACTATTACATGTTCATAAATTTTTACTATACCATTTGTATTCAAATAGGGTTTGTGTAACTTGTCTATTACAGCTCATTTAGACAAGTACATTTTTCATTGTAAAACATTATAGATTGAATAAAGATGATGTCGAAGAGGAAACTTACAATGTAGCACTTTGTGGATGAATTATTGAATGACAACCTCTTCCTTTTGTAACATAAAAAATAATTAATTGCAGATATATTTTGTTAATAAATATTAACTGGGAAGCTTCACAATATTTACTTTTATTTTAATATTATTAGTAAAACCTAAGCTAAAGATATGATAAATAATAATATAGTGTGATTTTTGTATGTACATTTGCATACATGTTGATGTAGTCCACAGTTAAATACAGAAATATGCTTAATAACATTAAACTACTGCATAATTTAGCAGGAAACTTTTCTATGAAAAATGAATAAATGAAAACAGAACCTTAGATAATACAATAAATGTGAGGCATCAGTACTAAAGAATCAATAATTGATTAGTCTAACATATTGAATTACATAGAAACAGTGATATCCCCCATTGTATATATTTACAAATAGGTTTCTATAATTAGTTTTATTAGTAAGTTAGTGATTGTGAGATAATAGCTGTATTAGACAGATCAGGTTAAGAAAAGTATAGGTGGAAAAATAGGTATATTTATAATAATTAGGTAGATGATAAAGAGATACATAGATACATAGATAGAAAAATAGATGATAGATGAATTTTTCCACAAGGTATTGCTTAAGAACCTGAAGATTTTAAAAGGGTGGTATGAGCTAGGTCTTTTTCTTAAAGGAGAGAAAATTATAATTTGGAGAAAGACATCCATATTGAAACAAGAAGTATAAGTGAAATGTGTTAAGAAGTAAGAGAGAGGTGCTAGGGTAGGTTCACAAATAAAAAATGTTTTAATATGAGAATATAACTTTCCACCTGTCATGATCTGGGGAGGTATATTGTAAATAATGTAGAGCTAACTAGGCATAAAATAATATGCAAGTCACATTCTTTTTCATTACAATAGGTACCAAAATACACCCGTATCTTGCAGAAACAAGCTTGTGCCAAGTGACCAGACACATTACCTCCTCCAGAGAGGGAACCTTTCTATACAATTTAAGGTGTAGTCTATCTGCCTGTTCTAAAATGACTGGACTTATGGGAATATTCAGAGAAGAAAAAAGAGACAATGTTCACTCCAGTCAAAATGAAAAGTATAACTCTGGGAACCCAAGAGAAATATGCAAACTGGCGAGAAACTGAATCCCTGCTGCCATGGCCAGGGAAAGGTGCTGCAGGTTCTTATGCAGAGCTAGAGAACCTTGGGTACATAATAGAAGCAAATTAGAGTCTGTGTGACAATCATTGAGCATAGCCAAATGTTCATTCTTTCTTAGGATGGTCGCTTTCCCAGCTACTGGCAATAAACTTTAATTTATTTCTTAACATTTAAAAAAGTCATGTTAAGGCCACAGATTGCTGAGATTGAGTATCTGAAGAGTTTTACTGACTTAGTTAGAGGTGAATACCCCTAATTAGATTTATTTTCAAGATTTACATAGCCATACCCCTTGAGATTTAATAAAAGGAAATGATTTTTTTTTAAATGTCAAGGACACAACTCAGATAAATGAATGAAAGAACATTTAGAGATAATGAAAATACAATACCAATAGTGTCTAAATTCAATTTGTTTTATTTTAATATTACGATAGATTTTAGAGAATTTTTACATATGAATAGTTAGACATTCTCACTAGAAAATCCAATATCCTTTCATAAATATAGGATTTATTTTGAAGTAATCAAATATCAGTTATGGGCAAATTATTAAAAAATACCAGTTGATGCCTTGTTGAGATTCTTCATTGGGCAGTCCTTTACACATGCCTTCAAAGCTATTTGAATACCATAAAAAGAAACACAGTATTGAGAGTGGACTTACATGTAACCAACTCAAATTAACATAACAGAATTTGGCTTACCCATGGTACCAGAAACAGCCAATCATAATGTTGTAAGGAAATAAGCTCTACGAATGTCTGGAAATTTCAAAATTTACATATAGCTATGTCAGATAAAACAGGTTTATCAAATATCCATTTGTAAAAGATGAATAAAGGTGTCAAGTAATATAATCAATTAAAGTGTTAAACATATGTATTCAAATTTCTGGTTCAAGAGTGGGTCAACAATTATAACATAAATAATATGAGCCAAGGGAAGTTATTCATCAACTATTTTACAAAAATAGTTTCTGATATATGTATTCAAAGACTATTAGCAGTATGAATTTTACATATTTTACTGTTTGATATTATATATTTAAGAACCATTTGTTCTGATCTTTGACTTTTAACAATAAAATTTCATAATCTTTGCCAATATTAAAGAGAATAAACCCTTACTCTTATACAATTACTAAAGACCTAAAAAAATATATTTCTATTAAAAACAAAAAAACAAGATAATTATATACAGAAAAATAAATAAAGCACTGGAAGATAGAAAAAATGTTGCTCATTTCATTTCTGGAGTTTAAATGTACATACAGAGATGATATGTGCTATTTGTGTGGCTTTCATGTTTCTCTCAATATTTATAGGATTACAAAGAAACTCTAGATCTAGAAATATAAAATGTAAGTGATCACAAACTTTTCAACTAGAATTTAAAAAGTGTGTCTTAATCTACTAAGTATATTAGGTTACAAAGAAAAATTATATTAACACTTTTGTGGTTACACATATTTCATAACAACTTTGAATAGAGTAAGTTAAAGAATCATTAAGAAAAATATTCAGTGGCAAACCATAATATTTGTGCATATTTACTAATTTAGAAAATTACCAATAGTATTTATAATGCAAGTTAGGATATCCTAATAATAATTATAACTCTACTGAAGTTAAATATATTTACTATGTTCCTTTAAATCACTGATTTAAAACCTGTGATTGTTTTTGACAAAGTATTTTTATTATTCTAATACAATTTATGGTTTTTCTTCCCTCAGTAACTGTACCCCCTCCATTAATCCAACAGCAATAAACTCCAAGCAAAAACAATTCTCCTTGTTTAGTCCTAAATAAGATAGATATATCTCCAAACTAACAGGTAAACATTTTATTAATAAATTTAAAGACTATGATGATGATCATGAGTTTTGTGAAATATACTAGTATATTTCACAAAATATATATTTTAGTTATACAATGAATGATATGAGACAATTAACAGCCACAGCTCAAAGCATTTCTCATGGTTTGAAATAGAAAAATTGTTACTTATGTTTTATCATAAGAAAAATAAGTGTTTTAAATCGCAAAAATGTGACATTTACCTTTTCCAATTGAGCGTTTTTTTTGGATTTGTATAAAAACTCTCCCACTGCCACAAAAACTGAGAGCACCAAGCCGGCTGCCAGGACAATGAAGATACCACCAATATTCTGAACCCCTAGGGCACTGGCCTCCTTGCTCTCCTCCTCTGGGCAGCCATTGCCCCTCCACCACTTTTCCTTCATCATGTGCAGCTTGCCTTCCTCCTGCAGCTGAAGAATTGCTATGGTGATTTTGTCTCGATATGGCGAACCTGAGAAAAAAAAATGTGCACATTAACATTTCAAGGAAAACAATTAAAGATCATGAGTGGAGAACAGAGATTTTACAAATGCTTCCTAGTATTAACTTTCATTTTCGGTAGAGAAAACAAAATAGAAATACACAATAATAAAAAAATTTAAAGGGTAACTCCAGCAAGCAGGCTTTCTAGACCTTTTGGTAGTGAATATGCTTTGTACAGAATGATAAAAATTTGTCTAGTATGATATTTAATTCGTGAGAGAGTAACTGACTCCATCTGAAATACAGATGTGGGGTATTGGATAGCCAGTGAAATCATAAACAGGAAGTCACTAATTGAATTATTAGTAACTAGATTAGTGTAATCTAACTTTTTTTAGATTACAAAAGTCATTGTTTCATGTCAGGAAACAATTCTGCACTGAGACTGAAAAATGGATGAAACAGCTTTATCCACTTCTAGGAAAATTGTAGGAAATTAATCTCCACATGTAAAGCAGTAAGTTAAGGTTGTTATGATTGGCAGGCAAGTTTCCATGACATTCCCTACTGTGCAGACATAAGGAATTTATTTTTTTTCTGTTTTGATGTCAAAAAATTTCATTGGTTCATTAGATTTGGGTTATAAAAATTATTATGTCAACGCCATTTATAATTTCAGGAGCATATGACACAATTGTGGTAAGATACCTTAATTGATAGTAATAATCTTAAGTTTTGGGTGGTATTCCTTTCAGTAGAAACAATATAAAAATTTATTATTTGTTCTTTTGAATATGTCCATACATTAGCAACTACATAGTAAGTACAGTCTTGGTAATAGGATGCCCAGTACACAGGTAGAAATATCAAAATATCTGCATCCTTCATCATCTGCCACAAAACACTGGTTTTGTTTATTCCTACCACAAATCTTGTTTCCAAATTTCTTCCAAGAACACAATATTATATGTTATTTGGATAGGAGCACAAATTTCCCTATAATGCTTTTCTGCTTTCATAATAAAAGCTAAACATTTATATTTCAAGTCAGTGCTGTGAATAATGATTTGTGTAAATATGTTTCTACTTATAGATCTCTAAGAAAAATAAAGGAAATCTTAGGCATGATCCTGTAATATGCTGTTGAAAATGATAGATAAAGTTGGGCACAGAGTTGTACTACGCTCCCAGCCCTTGGATTTAGAGATGGGTACATCAAGAATTCATGATGATTTCTGGCTACAAAGTAAATTCAGAGTCAGTCTAAGCTCTGAAATATCTAGTCTCAAAACAATATGCTAGACTCAGAAAGATAAACATTGTATATTTTCTGCTGTAGATATGTCTGTTTCATTTACAATAGATGTCACATGATCATGTAGGAGTCAGGATGTGGGAAAGGATCTCTGAGGAAAAGGAAAGACAATGTAGTTTTTTAAAGGCATAATGGGAAATTAAGTAGGGAGATTTGAATGAGGAATGAGATGGGAGGTAAGGGTAGAGGAGAGAATACAGTGGGAAACCACAAACACTAAAGGCCCATTTAAGCTATGGAAACTTGCTAAAATATATACACACATATAAAAGATATAGGGCTATCATATAATAAGGGGAACCTCAACTGAATATCCTATGCTATCAAATAAACTCTTCAGTACCAGTTAGGGTGTCATCTCGTCAGGTTATTTGCCAACAACTTCCCAAGTATCACCACAATATCAAGGCTATTTCCAATGCAATGGGTTTCCCTCCACAGTGAGGCATTGCTGCTAAAAGTTATCATATATTTGTTTCATGGAAGGTTTCCTTTGCATATTTACAAATACAGATAGCAATGAAAACCAACAATAGTGAATAACATATTAATTTATTAACTACCACTGATTTAAGTGTGTCACTGAGAATTAGCTTTGAGACTTCAAAAGTCTCAGTCAGCTTTCTCTGACTCATGCTTATTGATCAAGGTGTGAGACCTGTCCTTTCATTAATTGTTAATACATGCACATATGTATGTGTATATTTTGCTAAATATAACTCTGTATGATATTAGTATGTTTTCAGATACAGAAGTCATGAATTTGACAAGGAAAAAAGGATTTACAGAATTGTTTGAAGGGGTAGAAGGAAAAGAGAAATGTTGTAACTACATTCTAAACTCAATATAAAGGGAGATGGATGGGGTAGTGCTTGCTTTTAATTTCAGCACCTGGTGGCAAAGGCCTCCAGATCCCTGAGTGGAACAGCCTGTTCTACAAAGTGAATTCCAGGACAAACAGGACTGCACAGAGAATGCATGCCTCAGGAAGCCACATAAAAATAAATAATTGTGAAAAGTGAAAGATAAAAAAAATTAAACAAACTTTATACATCAAGTTTTCAAAAAGAGGTATAACTTGTAACCCTGCATGACTGCCATGCCGCCCTCCCTGCTTTCTTTTTGAGTGCTATGATGGTGATGGACTCTATCCCTCTGCAACCACGAGCCCCAAACTATACATTTTCTCTATACGGTGTCTTGGTAATGATGTTTTAGATTCCAATAGAAAAGAAACTAAGACAAGGATTTAAAAAATCAATAATGACAAGTGGTGCTGGCACACACTTTTAATCCAGAGTCAGAGGTAGGTGGATCTCTGTGAGTTTGAGACCAACCAGGTCTACAGAGTGAGTCCAGGACAGGCTCCAAAGCTACCAAGAAACCCTGTCTCACAAAACCAAAAAATAAAGTATTTCTTCCTTGACCCACAACATATTGTTCTTTAGGGAGGATTTCTACCATGGGCACAAGTTAAAGTCAAATGTGGACTGACATATCGCTGAGTAAAGATATCTCAAAGACATACTGAGATCAATGAACAGGAGTGGTTTAATTCATATACATAACCTCACACTTAGCAACAATAAAGTAGACAGATAATGGGGACTGACATATCGCTGAGTAAAGATATCTCAAAGACATACTGAGATCAAAGAACAGGAGTGGTTTAATTCATATACATAACCTCATACTTAGCAACAATAAAGTAGACAGATAATGATCATAAACTTTATTCAAGTACTAGTTGCAGAGTGTGGAGGTTAGTGTCAATTATTAGCTTCAGAAATATAGAATAACTTCGAGGCTGGGCTTTTGAGTCTGCCTATGGTCTATTATCTTGGTTGTCTTAATGTGGGAAGACACATCATCTATGGGTGGGGATCCTGGACTGTATGAGGTAAAGAAAGAGAACAGATCAACAGTGTTTTCTCACTGTGGATGTGGTGTGACCTGGTAATCCTGCTGCACTGGTTGACCCCATGGTGTTGAACTAAATTTTTAATTGTTAGTTAAAATAAACCTTTTCTTACTAGTTTTATTTTGTCAAGATATTCTATCAAAACAACCAAAAAATCTACTGAAACTCACTAGGTCAGCCTATAACTTGAAAGAAAGGAGCTGAGGGCATGAAGGTAAGATTAGAGGATATGAGGAGTCACATTTACTACAAGGTTTTTTTGCACAAAAGTAGCAACGTTTCAATTTCTCACTATGCAACCCTGACTGGACCAGAAATATCTTATGTAAACCTGATTGACCTCAAATCAAAGAGACCCAGTTGACTTTGACTCTAGAGTACTGAAAATACAGAAATCAACCTGCCTTTGTCTCCCAAGTACACCATGCTCAGCAAACAGTGTAATATTTGAAAGTTTCTTCATCTTTAATTTGAAAACAACATAGTAACCCATAAATGTGTCTACATAACAAATTCTCTCACATCAGAAAAGTGAAACTGCAAATGTATTGAAAGCAGATAAACCCACATGAATGAAACAGGAGAGAAAAAAGTATCTGGGCTGCCTCAGTGTCCACAGTTACATACAGATGTCTTTTGTTTCAGTTGCATTTAAGCTGTCAGATAGCTTCATTTGTGAGATGTGGGTAGATACATTAAACCTTTTCTTTTAGAATAAAAAAAAACACTTCTTGAAGCCAAAATTAGTATCTGTATCTTCATGATAAAAATTCTAATCACTAGTTCCTGTGAGATGTGGGTAGATACATTAAACCTTTTCTTTTAGAATAAAAAAAACACTTCTTGAAGCCAAAATTAGTATCTATATCTTCATGATAAAAATTCTAATCACTAGTTCCTTTTTTTTTTCTTCCTCTTTTGGAACTTTCCTTAGTTATACATGTTCCCCCACCTAAATGGAACTTTGTCATTTTGAAATTATCTCTTTGAAAATTAACAAAATATATGCTTTTCTCCTAGTTTAATAAGAATGGGGGAGAGAGGGACAAGCAAAGAAAGAGTCATGAGAAGAAAGGTATAAATACCCATGGAAGTGATTTGATCTCTCAGATACTTAAGATTTGAAGTATTAAAAGGAGCCCTAAAGAAGGTATTGAGACAATTTCAGTCTGTGACCAGACCAACTAAGCACACCTGAACTTATCTGTGATGGGAAGAGAAAGAGAGAGCCAGGTCAGGATATGGATGGTAGACTACTGTAAGTTTAATAACAGTGAATACATGCACATAGAAAAATTGCATAGTTCTTGGATGTAGCATTTGCTCAGCTATGAAGTTATTCATAAAATCTTAAATATTAAATTTTTATGAAGTAACTTTAGGTAAAATTATTACTTTATTAAAATATATTCAAAAGCTGTAGTAATGTTTTGGGAAGGGTAAACAGATTATGAATTCTGTCTTTAGCTAACTTATTAGTTTATTGTGATTCCTTTCTTCGTCTCTTCCTTCCTTCCTTGTGTCCTTATTTCCATCCTTCCTTACTCCCCTCATTGTTTTTCTTCCTTCCTCTATTCCTACTTGCCCATTCCTTTGAGTTTTAACTCTATTTTCCTTATTTCCCTTTGCTTCTTTTCTTCAACATTCCTTTCTTCCCATCACTGGCCTTCAAATCTCTGTTTTCCAATCAGCTTTTCCTTTTTTCCTAGCCCTGCCTCTTCCTTTATCCTATTCTCTGTGCTTTACTTGTGTATAACTAACAACATGCATAGTCTATTCCAAAGTATAAGCC